ATTTTTTAACTTTTAACTCCACGCCTTTTTCCAAAGACCCTCGCATTTACTTCTCTACAACCCCCATCTAAAAAAATTTTAAAAAACAACCACGTGACTTTCACACATCCTTGTTAATCCTCTTTTAGTGGGAAATAATCTCCCTCTTTCCTACATACTCTAACTTGAGCATTACATCCTCGTAAAAACCTTCATGTTTTTCAAAAACCCTTTCCCTCCTATACATATACCTGCGACGCCACATTGCCCCCCTATCCCCCCCTGTCATACCCCTTTTCCCAAAACCCATAAATCCAAAAAAACCTTTTTACCCTTTTTCTAAAAATTTTCACTTATAGTTTCCTGTAAACCCCGGTCCAAAACCCCCCCTTCCTTCCTAAAGCCTCCTTTTCATGTATATTATTTCCCAAATTTTTGGGTTCTGTACTTTTTTAAAAATGCCCACTTGGTGCTTTTCAAGTTTTTTTTTTTTTTTAAGGTTTTATTAACCCCCCTCAATAAAGAATTGAAACCAGACTTAGAGACAGTTGTCTCAACAGTAACAGAAATGCATAAAAATTTTATACACACATCCAGTGTATAATAAAAAATTTCTGTAAAAAAAAATATTTCTCAAAATAACCATTTTGGAAGCATTTTTTTTTTTTTTTTACTTGGGATACTAAACATCAATAATGTTTTATTCAATCTTTTCAAATTTTCATCATTACTTGGATCATTTTTACATAACTGATTTTAGGGGAAAAATTATTTTTTTAAAACACTGGTCACTCCTACCGAGGTAGGGTGACCTGAAAAAAAAAAAAGAAACATGTCACTGCATAAATTTAAATCATTGTCTTTCCCAAAAGCATCTGAATCACAGTTCAGTGGCCATCTTTGCTGTAATATCCCCATCCCTTCCTTTGAGGCAGGCCCTGACTTCCCATCCAAGACCAATCCACCTAACTTGTTTCCCTAATTTGTTCAAAACACACCCCGCTTGCATTTTTAAAAGCTTCAAACATAAAAAAACACTTGCTTCCCCTCCTAAATAAAGACAGAGAGGCCCACATAAGGGGGGCACTAGTATATACATGCAATACTATTGTACCACTGAAGCTTTTATTGCGCTCCACAAATTGTTGGATGCCAGGAGGGGAAGGAAAAAGAAAAGGGGTTTGAAGCAAGGAAAACGTGAAAAAAAAACAAAAAAACAGAGAAAAGGAAATTTAATTTTGGGGGGGGGGGGGCCCCCCCGGGGGGGGGGCCCTTTTCACAATGAATGGACAATTATTTAGGGAATATTTTCTGTAAGAAAAAAAAACCCCTTTAAATTTTAGATGCAGAAAAGGTTTATTTAAAAAAAACTGCAATTTTTTTCATAGTGTTTTTTTTAAAAAATATTTCTTTTTTTTCCTCCAACAACACTTTTCCCCCCAAAAGGCAAGGATGACCTAAAAAGAAAAAAAAGTTTTTTTTTCAAATTTTTATTAAAAAAAAACGGGGTTTTTTCTACCACTTGCTCCTGAAAAATTTTTTCTTTTAAATTTAGGGGGTTTTAAAGAATTTTGTTCCACTTTCCCATAGATCTTACAACATCCACTTTATTTTTTTAAGTCATTCCATAAATTATGGGGGTTCTGTTTTTGCAAATTTCATTTACCAACATTTTTTTACGAAGGGGAAATGAAGATACTGTATTCAATTACGAATTTCTTGTTTAGTGTTCGCCCCTGCTCTAATCTCTTTCAGTCCCAAAAAATTTAGGTCAAAAAAAAAAAAGGGGGGGAAAAAGGGAAGGGGAACGGGGGGGAAAAAATTTAAAAGTTTTTTTTTAACCCCCGGGGAGGGGGGGGAAACCCGGGGGGGAGGGGTATCCAGGCAATTGTGTTGAATAATAAGCAGAGAATTCGTTATTTGGAAGTTAAAAAGGAGGTGCGGATTACCAAACTGTGTCCAGAGGCTGAGGAAGGGTTTGTTTAGGTGGTTACCGACATGTATGAGAGAATGGAGCGAAACCAGAATGGACTTCAAGAGTGTATCAGTCTGTGTGGAGAAGGCGGGTAGGGGTCGGCCTAGGAAGGGTTTTGGAGGGAGGGGTAAAAGATTATTTTGTGTGCGAGGGGCTTGGACTTCCAGCAGGCATGCGTGAGCAGTTTTGATAGGAGTGAATGGAGACAAATGGTTTTTAATACCTTGACGTGCAGTTGAGTGTGACAACGTAACATTATGAGGGTTTCAGGGAACCGGCAGGCCGACTTGATCCTGGAGATGGGACGTACAGTGCCCTGCACTCTGAAGGAGGGTGTTAATGTTGCAGTTTAAATAACAGTAGTGTAAAGCACCTTCTGGCCAGACATGACGGATGATGATGGTGAATAGTTTGTCTTTTTTCGGGCCACCCTGCCTTGGTGGGAATCGGCCGGTGTGATAATAAAAAAAATAAACATAGGAGTACAAAGAAATACAGTGGTTAAGTGTAACATGCCAAAAGCCCCTTGTATGTAGAGCATTATGGGCAGGCTTAAAATTAAACTAAAGATTAACTAAGCAATGATATATTCAGTGGTAAACATTACTGTAAACAAATAACAATTAAGCACAAATGAGTATTTCAAAGACAGGTCATATGGTCATTTACTGAGTTACAGTGCATTCAGTAGAATGGAGTATTCTATTAGGTAATGTAATTAAAAAAACAGTTTGATAGGGTCACAAGTTATACATTTATGAGATACAGTTATTCAATATTTATTTAGTTGTGGGTGAGTAAGTGGTTTTTAAGAAGAGACTTGAATTTATAAACAGTGTTTCTTTTATATTCACAGGTAAAGAATTCCAGATTTTTGGGATTTTTATGTGCATTGAGTTTTTTGCACAGTGTGAGATGGACACGAGGAACATCAAAGAGTGATCTGTGCCTTGTGTTATGGTCATGTGTTCTGTTGAGGTTGGTAAGGAGACGTTTGAGGGGAGGGTTTACATCCAAGTTAAGTGTTCTGTGTATGTAGTAGGTACAGTAATAAGTATGGATGTTTTGTATGGTGAGTAGGTTTAGAGTTTTGAATATTGGTGGAGTGTGCTGCCTGTAGTGGGAATTTGTTATCATTCTGACTGCAGCCTTTTGTTGGGTAATTAATGGTTTGAGATGGTTTTGTTGTTGTTGAGCCCCATGCACAAATTCCATAGGTGAGATAGGGATAAATAAGTGAGTGATATAGGGCCAGGAGGGCTGACTGTGGAACATAGTACTGTATCTTCGTAGTATGCCTACGGTCTTTGGAAAAATTTTCTTGGAAATTTTTTTTGTACATGTGTTTGAAATTTGAGTCTATTATCAGGGTGGATTCCTAAGAATTTTCCCTCTGTGAGCTTTGTGATAGGTGATCCGTTTATCATTATGTAAAGGGACATCTGTAGCTCTGTTTCCAACCTGAATGAAGTAGGTTTTGTCAATGTTGAGAGTAAGTTTGTTAGTCATCATCCAGGTAGATATTTTCTGTAATTCGGTATTCACAGTATTGGCTAGCATGACTGGGCTTGGGTGAGAGAAGACGTATGTAGTGTCATCTGCAAATAGTGTGGGTTTGAGTAGTTGTGATGCATTTGGAAGGTCAATATTAAACATATTAAAGTGATATCCAACAGAGATATGGTCTATGGAACTCAGAATGAAACCAAATTTAAAAAAATTTGTCAACTTAATTTTGTATTATTCATGGTTACTGCTTTTCTGGGACTTTTAGTTACCCCCCTTTCCCAGTAAATTAGTAGGAGTAACTGTACATTGTATTCCACAGTCTGGCATGATGATCCATGTAATTGTGTGTGTGTGTGTCCTCTTCAGTGGAACAACAATGCTATACTCTCTTTCTTTGACAAATACTTTTTCAAACTACTTTCTTTCCTCTCATTTTCCTTGCTCTTTCTTTTCATCTTCAGATTCATATGTAATATTCCTTTCCATATTGTTACTCTCTTCATATTGTATTTGGGAGTGCACCGCTGTTTTAAGAGTGCATAATGACTAGCCAGAAAGATTACTGATGATTCCAATCATTGGGAGAATGGGAGGTAATCAGGTTTGATCCATGGAAGGGAAGGGTAACTTTAGCTCTTTGAAGCAAGAACCCTTACAGACTCAGAGTCAATCATTGTACATTTCGCAATGCTATCACCATCCTTTAAACCGGGCAATCAGCTTGTAGTTTGAAATTAGTACATGTATACTACTGGTTTATTGTTTTCTCACCAGAAGCAGGATCTTACTGTTAGTTAAAAAAAAAAAAAGTAATGATGCCAGTAACATCACCTGGTATTGTACATAAGAATCTCAAATGATGTGGTTCTGCTGAAAAAATATAGAAATCACTGCCTATCAGTTCTACCCCAGAATCACTAGTTACAGGCCTCTGTACTACTTTTTAACCTAGTTATGAGCTCCATTCTCATGCCACATACCTTGAAAGATTTGTAAGTACTGTACTGTAATTGTTTGAAATAGTTCCATGTTCAATAATAAATTGAAGATTTTATTAAAAAAACTTGAGACATAAAAAGTCAAGGGCTTCATGGTTTTTTGTTAAACTGGGCACCATCAAAATAATAATTTGGCTCACATTATACAGTTCCAGTTTGTTTTTACTACAAGAAATTGTGGATGTGAATACAGTATCTTTGACAGCTCTGTACTGTAATTTTTATTACAGTAGTATATATCTATTTTCTCGTCACATTGTTTATAATTAACATAAAAAACATTTAAGCACTATATTACTAAATTTAAAAGGAGAAACTTTCGTTTTTCCTTTTGGGCCACCCCACCTTGGTGGGATATGGCTGGTATGTTGAAATAAAGAAAGATTTAGCAAATTGCTCAGATTTTTTTTTGTAGTGACTGCTGTTCAGATTTATATAAATAGTGATACTGGTACAATATTGCATATGATTATTATGATTTTCTTGCAATTATGTCATCTTTTCAATTTGCATGTTATTACATGAATTACATTATTTTTTATGCATTATGTGCTTGTACTGGCAGCATTTCTTAAGGACAAGCTGGATGACTATGTGCGTGAAAATCTGCCCAAAGTAAGGGTTGTTCATCTCCCAAGAAGGTCTGGACTCATTCGAGCTAGATTGGCAGGTGCAAAAGTAGCACGGGGGGATGTCCTTATATTCCTAGATTCTCACACAGAATGTACTACCAACTGGCTTCCTCCTTTGCTAGGTAAGTTAAATTATACATAATCAGTAGTAACTATAAACTTAATTCAATTAATCCTCATTTTTTAATGAATTGTTTCTGCAACTTATCTGAACCTGCAAGTGGAAATGTTAATTAGTCAAAAGATTTTGGGAATGCCATGCAGTTCAACAGTGAAGCTTCAGAATCTGATACTTCAGGGAAATTACAGTCATTTAATTCAAAGAGATGCTGATGCTCTATATTTGACTTAGCAAGTGGGCTGACCATTGGTTTGCTAGAAGCCATAGTAGCTCATGTTGGAAGTAAAGGGTAGTGGAAGGTGGGTGGCAAGTGCTGCTTAAAGGCATCTTACTATTGTACCCACCAGCAACTAGCTACTGCCTTAGTCAGCCATTGCTGTTGGGGCAGAATGTAATGGCATCTGGATAATTTTTACATACATGGATAATTTTTTCTTTTAAAATATTTGATTGTACATCACTCATTTAACAACATTTACAAAACATAATTAAGACAACATTGTGCTGCTATTGATACATAATATTTTTTATTTTAACATGCTGGGTGTCTCCCACTGAGGCAGGGTGACACGAAAAAAAACCACTTTCACCATTATTCACACTTATCACTGTCTTGCCAGAGGCACACAGATACAGCAGTTGAGATGTCACTCTAAACAGCAGATATCTGAAACCCCTTCTTTAGAGTGCAGGCACTGTACTTCCCACTTCCAGGACTCAAGTTTGGCTAACCAGTTTCTCTGAATTCCTTCACAAAAATTTACCCTAAACTCCAACAGCTCATCAAATCCCAAAAACCATTCATCTCCACTTGCTTCTATCTAATACGCTCACACGTGCCTGCTGTATGTCCAAGCCCCCTTACACACAAAGCCTCCTTTACTCCTTTCCCCCTCCTTCCTTTCTAGGACAACCACCCCATCTTCCCTCCACTACAGATTGATATACCCTCCAAGTTATCCTGTTTTGTTCCATCCTCTATGACCAGACCACCTCAACAACTCCTCAGTCCTCTGAATAATACTTTAAATAACTCCACATCTTCTAATTTCTACACTGCGAACTCTCTGCATAATATTTATGCCACATATTGCCCTTAGACACATCTCCACTGCCTCCAGCCTCCTCCTCGCTGCATCATTCACAGCTTATGTTTCACACCCATGTAAGAGTGTTGGTACCACTATACATGTATTCTCATACATTCCCTTCTTTGCCTCCATGAATAATAATCTTTGTCTCCACATATACCTCAGTGCACCACCCACCTGTTTTCCTTCGTTGATTCTGTGGTTTACCTCGTTCTTCATATACCCATCTGCCAACATGTCCACTCCCAGATGTCTAAACACATTCACTTCTTCCAGTTTGATAAAATTAGTGTTGAAGCAGGTGTATTTGATGACAGCACTTATTGATGCCAAAATTTCTCTAATTTTCAAGACATTATAATTTTAGTGTGAGATAACCATTGTTCACTAGACAAAGCATAAACTTGTGAAGAATTTTTTTTATTTCATTTACAGAAGTGTAAAAATGGTATTATAATATTGTACAAGCATATTTCACTTTTATAATGAATATGAAGAGTTTAGCCCATTAAAAGAGGCTTGGAATAGTACATTGTCACTAGTTTATTGAGGAATTAGCTAAATAGAACTTTGCTTAGTGAAGCTTACCTGTATATAAATATAAAGACTAGGGACAGAAGTTTAAAGTAATTGTATTCTGGGTCTTTATTATTCATCACATACTAATTTCAGACTGCTCTGTGATTTAAATTTAGGAATAATTTCTGATAATGAAATAAACATCAGAGTAACAAGGGAATGTTTAAAAAATACTACCATATTTTTGGTGCTGTCATGTTAGTAGGAAACAATAAACCTGAAGAAAGAACCTTATTTTAGTTTGTAACACTAATAGTTTTTGATCACTTTCATTCAATAAAATATAAACTTTTGATAAAACAGTGTAATATATAAAATTTATTTTAAATATAACTTTGTTGTAAATTTGATGTCTTATCTACAGAGCCTATTGCAAAGGACTATCGTACTTGTGTTTGCCCTTTTATTGATGTAATTGACTTTGAAACATTCGCCTATCGAGCTCAAGATGAAGGAGCCCGGGGAGCGTTTTGATTGGGAATTGTTCTACAAACGTTTACCACTCTTAGAAGAAGACAAAAAGAACATGCCAGAACCTTTCAAGTGAGTGCTATTTATTTTCTCGGATGTTATGTATTTACCCAGCACTTAAAATTACCATTCTTTTTTATAAATGTCCCCTCATTTAATGCTTACCTTTCCCACACCATATGCTATATGCTCAGTTCCGTAATACCCCTACTGTTTCCATTGAGAGTAGAGAGCATATAAAAAGTATGAAATCTTGTAAGAGTGAGGAAGAGCCAGATGTGAGTGTGGGGAAGGTGCATGAGGCTGTGGGTAGAATGAAAGTGGATAAAGCAGCTGGAATTTATGGGATCAAGACAGAAATGTTAAAAGCAGGTGGGGATATAGATTGGGAATGGTTGCGTGCATGAGCGTGTTCGATAGGAGTGAATGGAGACGAATTGTATTTGGGACCTGACGATCTGTTGGAGTGTGAGCAGGGTAATATTTAGTGAAGGGATTCAGGGAAACCGGTTATTTTTATATAGCTGGACTTGAGTCCTGGAAATGGGAAGTACAGTGCCTGCACTCTAAAGGAGGGGTTTCAGGATATTAGCAGTTTGGAGGGATATGTTGTGTATCTTTATACGTATATGCTTCTAAACTGTTGTGTTCTGAGTACCTCTGCAAAAGCAGTGATTGTATGTGAGTGAGGTGAAAGTGTTGAATTATGATGAAAGTATTTTCTTTTTGGGGATTTTCTTTCTTTTTGGGTCACCCTGCCTCGGTGGGAGATGGCCGAGTTGTTGAAAAAAAAAAATGAATGAGAGCACATATAGTTTCTTTATATAAAGGTAAATGGGACAAAAGAGAATGTAAAAATTAAGCCTGTTGAGTATACCTGGTAAGGTGTATGGTAGAATTATTATTGAAAGAATTAAAAGTAAGAAAGAGAGCAGGATCTCAGATGAACAAGGAGGCTTTATGAAGGGTAGGGGGTGCGTAGACCGAGTGTTTACAGTGAAGCACATAGGTGAATATTATTTAGACAAGGGTAAAGAGGTTTTTGTGGAATTTATGGATTTGGAAAAGGCATATGATAGGGTGGATATGGGAGCAATGTGGCAGATGTTGCAAGTGTATGGAATAGGTGGTAGGTTACTGAAGGTGGTTAAAAGTTTTTATGAGGATAGTGAGGAGGAGGTAAGAGTATGTAAGAGAGAGAGAGGGAGATTATTTCCCAGTAAATTTAGGCCTTAGACAGGAATGTGTGATGTCACCATGGTTGTTCAGTATATTTATAGATGGGGCTGTAAGAGAAGTGAATGCTCAGGTGTTGGTAAAAGGTGTGGGATTAAGAGGTGTAAAATCTAACACGAAGTGGGTGTTGTCACAGTTGCTTTTTGCTGATGACACTGTGCTTTTGGAAGATTCTGAATAGAAGTTGCAGAGGTTGGTGGATGAGTTTGGAAGGGTATATAAAAGAAGGAAATTAAAAATGAACATAGGAAAGAGCAAGGTGATGAGGATAACAAAAAATTTTGGCAATGAAAGACTGGATATTAGATAGGAGGGGAGAGAGAGTATGGAGGAAGTGAATGTCCTCAGATATTTGGCAGTGGACTTGTCAGCAAATCAGAATTGATAAGGTAAAAAAGTGAGTGGTGTACTGAGCAGTCTGTGATGACAAAGAACATATCCATGGAAGCAAAGAGGGGAATGTATGTGAGTATTGTTATACTAATGCTTTTATATGGGTGTGAAGCATGGGTAGCGAATGTTGCAATAAGAAGGCTGGAGGCTGTAGAAATGGCGTGTCTGAGGGCTGTGAGCAGTGTGAATAGTATGCAGAGAATTCATTGCTTGGAGATTAGGAGGAGGTGTGGGGTTTTAAAAGTAGCTGCGGAGGGGTTGTTGAGGAGGTTTAGTCATTTAGAAAGGGTGAAATGAAGTAGAATGACTTGTAGGGCATGGGCATATGAATCTGAAGTGGAAGGAAGGCGGGGTAGGGGTCATCCTATAAAAGGTTGGAGGGAAGGGGTAAAGGAGGTTTTGTGTGCGAGGGGCTTAGACTTCCAGCAAGCGTACGTGAGCATGTTTGATAGGAGCAAGTGGAGTTGAATGGTTTTTATGACGGAGTTAATGATGATACTTTCATACATTCCCTTCTTTGCCTCCATAGATAATGTTTTTTGACTCCACATATACCTCAACGCACCACTCACCTTTTTTCCCTCATCAATTCTATGATTAACCTCATCCTTCATAAATCCATCCGCCGACACATCAACTCCCAAGTATCTGAAAACATTCACTTCTTCCATACTCCTCCTCCCCAATTTGATATCCAATTTTTCTTTATCTAAATCATTTGATACCCTCATCACCTTACTCTTTTCTATGTTCACTTTCAACTTTCTACCTTTACACACATTCTCAAACTCATCCACTAACCTTTGCAATTTTTCTTTAGAATCTCCCATAAGCACAGTATCATCAGCAAAAAGTAACTGTGTCAATTCCCATTTTGAATTTGATTCCCCATAATTTAATCCCACTCCTCTCCCAAACACCTTAGCATTTACTTCTTTTACAACCCCATCTATAAATATATTAACCCTTTGACTGTCACGGCCGTATATATACGTCTTACAAGGTACCGTGTTTGATGTATATATACTCATAAATTCTAACGGCTTCAAATCAAGCAGGAGAAAGCTGGTAGGCCCACATGTGAGAGAATGGGTCTGTGTGGTCAGTGTGCACCATATAAAAAAATCCTGGAGCACGCAGTGCACAATGAGAAAAAAAAACTGACTGTTTTTTTTAACCCTTTGACTGTCGCAACCCCCAATCCTGAGGTGTCTCCTGGTGTCGCAAAATTTAAAAAAAAAAAAATTATTTTTTCTTATAAAATGATAGAGAATCTTTTCCCGATTGTAATGACACCAAAAAAACGAAATTTGATGGAAAACTGACGGAATTATGCTCTCGCGAAGTTAGCGACCTCGGCGCTGTTTACAAATCGGCAATTTCACCCACTTTGAGCCCTATTTTCGGCTAATTCCATTGTTTCAGTCGCCCAAACTCATAGCTATTTCTTTAAAACTCCATTTTTTCTATTGATTGAGTACAAGAAACTGCCCATTTACCGATTTCAGCTACCTAATAATGTGGTCAGAAATTTGCAATTTGGCCAATTTCACGAAAACTAAAAAATATGACAATTTCAAAATAAGGTCCAGAATGAACAATGCAGACATTCCTGGCTCTAAAATAACATTTTCTTTGCTCATCAGTCATGTCTCCAGGCCCCTCTGATATTACTCTTGCTTTCTATTTTGAATTTTTATTCAAACAAAAAATAGAAGACTTACTATTATGCAGACTACTGCAATACTGTAATAATTGTATAAATAACATCAACCCATTCATGACTGCATATTAGAATGGCTAGTTGGACATTTATTGGACAATGGCATCATTTGTTTACTTTTGAACATTGGCAAAAATCAAACATTTCCCCTACTTTGAGCTCCATTTCTAGGTTCTTTTTATAGTAAAATCAATCAAAATCACCTCTAATTCTATAATATTTTTCCATTCTATCAAATGAGACCAAGAAAACGAGAATACAACCATAAATACTATACGAAAATAGACCACAAAGTCGGCATTTTAATTAAAAAAATCAGTCGGAGTTTTTTTTTTTCTCATTATGCACTGCGTGCTCCAGGATTTTTTTAATATGGTGCACACTGATCACAGACCCATTCTCTCACATGTGGGCCTACCAGCTTTCTCCTGCTTGATTTGAAGCCGCTAGAATTTATGAGTATATATACGTCAAACACGGTACCTCGTAAGACGTATATATACGGCCGCGACAGTCAAAGGGTTAATTAAAATGCCGACTTTGTGGTCTATTTTCGTATAGTATTTATGGTTGTATTCTCGTTTTCTTGGTCTCATTTGATAGAATGGAAAAATATTATAGAATTAGAGGTGATTTTGATTGATTTTACTATAAAAAGAACCTAGAAATGGAGCTCAAAGTAGGGGAAATGTTTGATTTTTGCCAATGTTCAAAAGTAAACAAATGATGCCATTGTCCAATAAATGTCCAACTAGCTATTCTAATATGCAGTCATGAATGGGTTGATGTTATTTATACAATTATTACAGTATTGCAGTAGTCTGCATAATAGTAAGTCTTCTATTTTTTGTTTGAATAAAAATTCAAAATAGAAAGCAAGAGTAATATCAGAGGGGCCTGGAGACATGACTGATGAACAAAGAAAATGTTATTTTAGTGCCAGGAATGTCTGCATTGTTCATTCTGGACCTTATTCTGAAATTGTCATATTTTTTAGTTTTCGAGAAATTGGCCAAATTGCAAATTTCTGACCACATTATTAGGTAGTTGAAATCGGTAAATGGGCAGTTTCTTGTATTCAGTCGATAGAAAACATGGAGTTCTAAAGAAATAGCTATGAGTTTGGGTGACTGGAACAATGGAATTAGCCGAAAACAGGGCTCAAAGTGGGCGAAATCGCCGATTTGTAAACAGCGCCGAGGTCGCTAACTTCGTGAGAGCATAATTCCGTCAGTTTTCCATGAAATTTTGTTTTTTTTTGGTGTCATTACAATCGGGAAAAGATTCTCTATCATTTCATAAGAAAAATAATTTTTTTTTTTTTAAATTTGCGACACCAGGAGACACCTCAGGATTGGGGGTTGCGACAGTCAAAGGGTTAAACAACCATGGTGACATTACACATCCCTGTCTAAGACCTACTTTTACTGGGAAGTATTCTCCCTCTCTTCTACACGCCCTAACCTGAGCCTCACTATCCTCATAAAAGCTCTTTACAGCATTTAGTAACTTACCACCTATTCCATATACTTGCAACATCTGCCACATTGCTCCTCTATCCACTCCATCATATGCCTTTTCTAAATCCATAAATGCAATAAAAACTTCCCTACCTTTATCCAAATACTGTTCACATATATGCTTTTCCACTTACCTATTGTAATTATTTGACAGACTTATTTTAGCCATATTATGTCCTCTTTTGATTCTTTCATTAAAGACTGTGAACACTGTTAGATCTGTAGTGGAGGGAAAGCGGGGTAGGGGTTGGCCTAGGAAAGGTTGGAGGGGGGGGTAAAGGAGGTTTTGTGTGCAAGGGGCTTGGACTTCCAGCAAGCGTGCATAAGTGTGTTAAACAGGAGCGAATGGAGACAAATGGTTTTTAGGACTTGACTTGCTGTTGGAGTGTAAGCAAGGTAACATTTATGAAGGGATTCAGGGAAACCGGCAGGCCAGACTTGATTCCTGGAGATGGGAAGTACAGTGCCTGCACTCTGAAGGAGGGGTGTTAATGTTGCAGTTTTATAACTGTAGTGTAGGCATGCCTCTGGCAAGACAGTGATGGAGTGATTGATGATGAAAGTTTTTCTTTTTCAGGCCACCCTGCCTTGGTGGGAAATGGTTGATGTGTTAATAAACAAAAAAAAAAAATTGTTCAGTGATGATGACATCTGTTGTGCATGTTAACCCCTCAAAAAAGTTACATGATGCTGGTAAGGGGTTCTTTATCTAAGGAACTGGACATGTTCTCACCCTCCCTTGGATCAAACCTGATTATCTCCCATTCCTCAGGTGCTGTATGACACCTGTGGGTTGAGGTCTTTCCCTAAATATAATGCAGTAATTTTTTTTAACATGTTGGCCATTTACTACTGAGGCAGGGTGACCCGAAAAGAAAGAACCCCCCCCCCCATAAAAAAAAAACTTTCATCATCATTCAATACTTTAACTTTCATTCATACATAATCACTGTCTTTGCAGAGGCACTCAGATATGACAGCTTAGACATCCCTCCAGACTACCAATATCCTAAGCCCCTCCAGGCCCATTTCCAGGCCTCAAGCCCAGCTAATTAATAATCTTGAGGTTAATGATGAGCTTGGGGAAAGTGATCACAAATCACTTAGTTTTAATATATCATGGAATTACCAAGATAACTGCAATCAAATCTCTGTCCCAGATTTTCGCTTGGCCAACTTCATGGGACTGAAAAATTACCTGGGTGGGCTAAATTGGGATGTCCTGACTATGGGTCAGGTAGGTGATCTTGGTTGCCAGTATGACGTTTTTCAGAGATTAGTTCTAGCTGCCCAGACAACTTTTGTTCCGAGTAGGGAAATTAGATCTAACAAAAATGATCCCAAATGGATGAACAGTAGATTAAAACATCTCATGGTCAAAAGAGAGGCATATATAGGCGTATCAAAAGAGGGGATGGGCAGTTAAGAAATCAATATATTCAATTAAAGAGAGAAATAAAGAAAGGAATAAGAAAAGCAGAAAGGGATTATGAGGCTAAGGTCACAAGGGATTCAAAGATTAACCCTAAAGGATTCTTTCAGGTATATAGAAGTAAGATTAGGGACAAGAATGGCCCACTTAAGAGTAACTCTGGTCAGATCACTGACAGTGATAAGGATATGTATGAAATTCTAAATACCTACTTCCTCTCAGTTTTCACCCAGGAAAATACTAGCAATATTCCTGAAATAATAGATTATGTAGAACAGGATGATAATAAACTATGTACGATTGCGGTAACTAGTGACATGGTCCTCAGACAAATAGAGAAACTAAAACCTAACAAATTCCCAGTCCCTGATGAACTGTTTGCAAGGGTGTTAAAGGAATGTAAAGAGGAACTTAGCATACCTTTGGCTAATCTTTTTAACATATCACTACAAACTGGCATAGTGCCTGATAAGTGGAAAATGGCAAATGTAATACCTATTTACAAGGCAGGTGACAGGTCCTTGGCTTCGAACTATAGACCAATAAGCCTTACCTCCATAGTGGGAAAATTTATGGAATCAATAATTGCCGAAGCAATTCGTAGCCATCTTGACAAGCACAGATTGATTAATGAATCTCAACACGGTTTTACAAAGGGGCGTTCCTGTCTTACGAATTTACTAACTTTTTTCACTAAGGTGTTTGAGGAGGTAGATCATGGTAATGAATATGATATTGTGTATATGGACTTCAGTAAGGCTTTCGATAGAGTTCCACACCAGAGGCTATTGAGGAAACTTAAGGCACACAGAATAGGAGGAGAAATTTTTTCTTGGGTAGAGGCATGGCTGACAAATAGACAGCAGAGAGTTTGCATAAATGGGGAGAAATCAGAATGGGGATACGTCACAAGCAGTGTTCCTCAAGCATCAGTGTTGGGCCCGTTGTTGTTCACAATTTACATAAACGACATAGATGAGGGAATAAATAGAGGCATAGCAAATTTGCTGATGACACCAAAATAGGCCATCCAATTCATTCTAATGAGGTCACTAGAGCACTCCAGGATGATTTGAATAGACTGATGCAATGGTCGGAGAAGTGGCAGATCCAGTTTAATATTGACAAATGCAAAGTTCTAAATGTTGGACAGGTAAATAACCATGCCACATATAAACTAAATAATGTAGATCTTAATACTACTGATTGCAAAAAGGATTTAGGAGTTCTGGTTAGCAGTAATTTAAAACCAAGAAAACAGTGCATTAGTGTTTGCAATAAAGCTAACAGAATTCTTGGCTTCATATCTAGAAGTATAAATAATAGAAGTCCTCAGGTTGTTTTTCAACTCTATATATCCTTGGTTAGGCCTCATTTAGACTATGCTGCTCAGTTCTGGTCACCGTATTACAGAATGGATATAAATGCTCTGGAAAACGTACAGAGGAGGATGACAAAGATGATCCCATGTATCAGAAATCTTCCCTATGAGGATAGACGGAGGGCCCTGAATCTGCATTCTCTCGAAAGGTGTAGAATTAGGGGGGATATGATCGAGGTGTATAAATGGAAAACAGGAATAAATAAAGGGGATGTAAATAGCGTGCTGAAAATTTCCAGCCAAGACAGGACTCGCAGCAATGGTTTCAAGTTGGAAAAAATTCAGATTCAGGAAGGATATAGGAAAGCACTGGTTTGGTAATAGAGTTGTGGAACAAACTCCCGAGTACAGTTATTGAGGCTAAAACATTGTGTAGTTTTAAAAATAGATTAGATAAATACATGAGTGGGTGTGAGTTGGACCTGACTAGCTTGTGCTGCTGGGTCTGGTGCAGTGCTCCATCCTTGAGTGGAGATGATCAGACTGGGTGGGTCATTGGGCTAATCCGGGGGAGGATGGGTCATTGGTCTAATCCGGGGGGACACATGGACCTGCTCCACATGGGTCAGTAGGCCTGTTGCAGTGTTCCTTCTTTCTTATGTTCTTATGTTCTAACCAGTTTCCTTGAATCCCTTCACAAAATATTTCCCTACTCACACTCCAACAGTTTGTCAGGTCCCAAAAACCATTTATCTCCATTCACTCCATTCACAGTAATAATATAATAATAAATTCTCCATGGGGAGATTGAGAAGAATCTTTCCTCCATAAGCCATGCATGTCGAAAGAGGTGACTAAAATGCTGGGGGCAAGAGGCTAGTAACCTCTTTTCCTGTATAAATTACTTAGGGTAAAGGGAAGAAAATATTTAATTTTTTCATTTTTGTGTCACCTTGCTTAAGTGGGAGACAGTCAGTGTTATGAAAAAAATAATAAATATTTTAATAATAATAATAATAATAATATACATGTCAAGATTTCCTAGTTAATTACCTATTTGCGTTATTAGCTTTGTTATCATCTGCGTTATAAATTGTTATCAACTGCATTATTTTATCTTTTTGAAAATTCAAAATCTGATGAAGATTGTATAATATTTCATGAAGCACCAAACCTGTGTGAATAATTCAGTGCAAGAAGTGGTGGAATCTTGATCCTCCATCAGGTATTCATGGCCTGATCTTTCACCAGTCAGGCTGTTGGTAACTTACCACTAAAAAGGTAAAAAAAAAAAAATTATACATGTATCCAAATACTAATACACAACTGTGAGGAATAAGACACATATGCACATCCAAGACATTTATTGAAGGAGACATTTACCATTGGTGGCTTTTTCAATACCAGTGGTACTATTGTAATCAGTGAGGCTTATCCAAGGTACAATTATTGCTACAGTACCTTGAAGGTGTAGTATTGTCCATAATTTTTAGATTTTTTTTTTTTTTTTGGGGGAAGGGATTGTGTTATGTTCAGCTTGTAACTACAAGCAATTAACAACTTTATTAAATTTTTCAGGAGCCCAGTGATGGCAGGTGGTCTGTTTGCTATTAGCAGTAAGTTTTTCTGGGAGCTTGGAGGTTATGACCCAGGGCTAGATATATGGGGAGGTGAGCAGTATGAACTCTCCTTCAAGGTTAGTCATTCTTTGATCTTTAAATATACCTCCTTTCATGAGAAGACATTGCAGAAGATGCTGTTATTGGGGCAAGGTTTCATTGCATTGAGTTTAATAATAAAGATCTACACTGTGAAACATTCTCCCAGCAATGGCTTGTTCTGCAGTGCCTTTTTGTCACTGTTAGTAGTACAACAGTTGGATTCAGTATGTCTTAGCAGTTGTGTGCCATGAGCCAAAATAAGCCTTACACAATATGCTTATTCTATTAAATAAATTTTGGTAGTAGAGAACTTATTTAAATTGTGAGATGCAGCGAGTATTGAACTACTCATATTTATGTGTGGCTCCAGGAACAGAGCTAAGCTTGTGATGTCTTATTGTTAATATTTATACTATCATGTAATTGTTTTATTTTCTAGTGGGTGTTGCACTTGTACTCCATACCAGTGTTCTGTCACTATGAAGATTTTTCTACAATCTTTTTGGAGTATATCTTTTCTCCTTAGTGTATAACTTTGCCCTTTTAAGTCTTCCATCAGTGGTGTTAGGAAATCTTCCCTGTCTATTATTTCATATCTTATAATGATAATTACCTATTTCTTCAGTATTTGTATATGCCTATTTGTAGCTACAGAAGCAGAGGTTACCTTATGGTTTGTATTCCTTTATAATCTTGTATGGTGGTTATCATGTCTCCTCATTTCTTTCTGTCAGTCATAGAAGGCTTGTCTGAAGCTTTCAGCCTTTCTTTGTAACTCACATTTTTTGAGTCCCAGGAACCATTTTGTAGTTTTTCTGTCTCTCACTTTCTTTATCCAGATTTTTGTGATCAGCAATTTTGCAGTTCCTATATCCTAATTATGGATTTCCTGTGACAGTGTTTTTATCAGTGCTAACTTTTAGGTCTCTCTCTCTCTCTCTCTCTCCTCCTCTCTCTCTCTCCCTCTCTCTCCTCTCTCCCCTCTCCTCTCTCTCCTCTCTCTCTCCTCCCTCCCCTCTCTCTCTCCTCTCTCTCCTCCTCTCTCCCCTCTCCCTCTCTCTCCTCTTCCTCTCTCCCTCTCTCCTCCTCTTCCCCTCTCTCTCTCTCTCCTCCCTCTCTCCTCTCTCTCCTCTCTCTCTTCTCTCCTCTCTCCCCTCTCTCTCTCTCCTTCCTCTCTCTCTCTCTCCTCTCTCTCTCTCTCTCCTCCTCCCTCCCTCTCTCCTTCTCTCTCCCCTCTCTCTCCCCTCTCTCTCTCCTCTCTCTCTCTCTCTCTCTCTCTCCTCCTCTCTCCTTTTCTCCTCTCTCTCTCCCTTTTCTCCCTCTCTCTCCTCTCTCCTCTCTCCCCTCTCTCCTTCTCACCCTTTTCTCTCCTCTTCTCTCTTCCTCTCTCTCTCTCTCCTCTCTTTTTTTTTTCTCTTCCCTCTCTTCCTTTTCTTCTCTATCCTATAAATTCTATCTCCTCCTTTCTCCTCTTCCTCATCTCTCCTTCCTCTCTCTCATCTCTCTCTTCCCCTCTCCTCCTCTCTCTCTCTCTCTCCTCTCTCTTCCTCTCCCTCCTCCCCTCTCCCCATCTCTCTCTCCTCACTCTCTCTCTCTCTTCTCCTCTTCTCTCTCTCTCTCTCTCCTCTCTCTCCCTCTTCTCTCTCTCTCTCTCTCTCCTCTCTCGCTCCTCTCTCACTCCTTCTCTCTCTCTCCTCTCCTCTTCCCTCTCTTCCTCTCTCCCTCTCTCCATCTCCTCTCCCTCCTCTCTCTCTCTCTCTTCTCTCTCTCCTCCTCACTCTCTTTTCTCTCTTCCCTCTCTCCCTCTCTTTTCCTCTCTCTCTCTCTCTCCCCTCTCTCTTCTCTCTCTTCTCCTCCTCCCTCTTCTCTCTCTCTCTCTCTCTCCTCTCTCTCTCCCCTCTCTCTCTCTCTCCTCATCTCTCTCTCTCCTCTCATCTCCTCCTCTACTCTCTCTCCTCTCTCCTCTCTCTCTCCTCCCTCCTTTCCCTCTCTCTCTCTCTCCTCTCTCCTCTCCTCTCCTCTCTTCTCCTCTCTCTCTCTTCTCTCTCTTCCTTTATTTCTCGTCTCTCATCTTTTTTTTTTCTCTTTTCTACATCCTTTTTCCCCTTTCTTTCTTCCCCCCTTTCCCATAATCTATTTCCCTTTTTTATCTCTATTTCTATCCCCTTTCCCTTTCATTCTTTCTTCTTTTCCTCTTCTCTTTTTTTCTCTCCTTTTTTTCTTTTCCTTTAAGTCCCCCCTTTTCCCTTTTCCCCTTTTACTTTCCTCCTTAAAATTTTCTTTTCTTCTTATTTTCTTTTTTCCCCTTTCTCCTTTTCTCCCTCCTCCTTTTTCTCCTTCTCTCTTTTTCTTTCCCTCTTCCCCTCTTTTTCTTCCATTCTCTTCCTCTCTTCTCTTTTTCCCCCTTTTTTTTTTCTCATCATTTCCCCCTTTCCTCTTCCCCTTTTTTTCCCCCTCCCTTTTCCCTCAGTCTCCTCACCTTTACCCTTTTCCCTCCCCTCCTCCCCTTTTCTTTCTCTCTTTTTCCCCTTTCCACTTTTTCCCCCCCTTCCCTTTTTTCTTTCTCTCATCCCCTTTCATCTCCTTTCTTTCTTCTCTCTTTCTCTTTCCACCTTTTTCTTTTTGCTTCATCCTCCTTTTTCACTTCTCCTTCTCCCCTTTTTTTTTTATTCTTCCCCTTTTTTCTATCAACTTTCTTTTCTAATCCTAACCCTTCCCCCTTTAAACCCCTTTTCCTTCTAAAATTTTCTTTTTCCCTTTTTCTTTTTCCCCCTTTTCTTCCCCCTTTCCCCCTCCCTCACCTCCCTCCAAATTTCATTCACCTCTCTTCAACCTCTCCTCCTCCTTCTTCCCTTATTTTTCTCATCCCTCTCTTCCCTTTTCTCCCCTCTTCTCTTCCTTTCTCTTTTTTTTTCTTTCTCCTTTCCCTTTTATTGTTTTTCTCTTTCCTTTCCCTTCGTTTTCTTCCTTTCCATCCTTTCCCTTTTCCCCAATCTTCTCTTTCCACTTTCTTTCAATTCCTTACCTTTCCTCCCCTTTTCCTCTTATTTTTACCTTTCTTCCTCTTTTTTTTTAATACCTCTTCTCCAAAACCTTTCTTATCTTCTCTCTTCCTCTTTTTTCTTCCTCTCCTTTTCCATCTTTCTTACAAACTCTTCTTCCCTTTCCCCTCTCCCAAATTTCCTCCATTTCCCTTTTTCACCCTTCTTCTTTTTTTTTTTTTTCTTTTTTTTTTTTTTTTTTTTCCTTTTCCTTTCCCCTTTTTTTTCTTTTTTCTCCTTTCCTTTTTTCTTTTTCCCCCCCCCCTTTTTTTTCCCTTTTTTTCCCCCCTTTTTTTTTTCTTTTTTTTTTTTTTTTTCCCCCTTTCTGTTTTTTTTTTCCTCTTTTTTTTTTTTTTTTTTTTTTTTCTCTTTTTATTTTTTTTTTTCCTTTTCTTCCCCTTTTCCTTCTTCTTCCCTCTCTTTTTCTTCCCCCCCCTTCTCTCCTCTTCTTCCTCCTTTTCTCTCCCTTTTTTCCCTTTTCCCTCCTTTCCCCCTTTCCCTCCTCCTCCCTCTTCTTTCCCCTTCCTTTCCCCCCTCTCTCTCTCTCCTCCTTTCCCCTTTCCCCTTTTTTTTTCCCCTTTTTCTCCTTTCTCCCTTTTCCCCTTTTTTTCTCTCTCCCCTTTTCTTCCCTTTTTCTTTCCCCCCTCCCTCCCTTTTTTCTCTCCCTTTTTCTCCTCTTTTCCCCCCTCTTTTCTTTTTCTTTTTTCTTCTCCTTTTCCCTTTTCCCTCTCCTCTCCTCTCCCCCTCCTCCCCCTTTTTCCTCTCTTCCCCCTCTTTTTCCCCCCCCCCTCTCTCTCTTCCCCTTCCTCTCCTCTCCTCCCCTTTTCCCCCTTTTCTTCCCTCCTCTCTTTCCCCCCCCCTTCTCTTCCCCCCTTTCCCTTTTCCCCCCTCCTCTTTCCCCCCCTCTCCTCCTTTTTCCTCTTCCCCTTTTCCCCCCTCCCCCTCTCTTTCCCCCTCTCTCCCTTCCTCTCCCCCTTTCCCTCCCCCTCTCCTTTCTCTATTCCCCCTTCTTCTCTTCCCCTCCCCCCTCTCCTTTCCCCCTCTCTCTCTTCCCCCTATTTTTTCCCCCTTCCTTTTTTCTCCTCTCCTTTTCCCCTCCCTCCTCTCCCTTTCTTTCCCTTTTTTCTCCTCTTTCTTTTCCCTCCTTCTCTCCCCTCTCTTCCCTTTCCCAACTCCCTTCCCCTCTCTTCCTCTCTCCCTTTCCCCCTCCCTTTTTCCCTCTCAATCTCCCCTTTCTCCTCTCTCTTCCTCCTTTTCTTCTCTCTCCCCTCTCCCCTCTCCTCTCTCTCCCCCTCTCCTTCCCCTCCTCCCCTTTTCCCTTCTCTCTCTCTCTTTCCCCTTTCCCCCCCTCCTCCTTTCCCCCTCTCTCCTCCCCCTCTCCCCCCTATTTTCCTTTTTCTACCTCTCTCCCCCCACCCCCTCCTTTTACCCCCTTTTCCCCCCCTTTTTTTACTTCCCCCCTCCCCCCACCCCCCCCCTCCCCCCCAAAACCCCTTTCCCCCCTTTTTTCCCCCCCTTCCCCTTTCCCCCCCTCCCCCCCTCCCCCTTCCCCCCCCCCCCCCCCCCCCCCCACCCCCCCCCCCAAACCCCCCAAACCCCCCCCCCCCCCTTTTTCCTTTTTTTTCTTTTTTTCCCCCTTTTTCCCCCTTTTTTTTTTTTTTTTTTTTTTTTTTTTTTTTTTTCCCCTTTTTTTTTTTTTTTTTAAATTCCCCTCTTTTTTGTTTTTTTTTTTTTTTTCTTTTTTTTTTTCTTTTATTTTTTCCCCTTTATTTTTCTTTTCCCTTTTCTCTTCTTTTTTTTTTTTTTTTTTTTTCCCCTTTTTCCCCTTTTTTTTTTTTTTTGTTTTTTTTTTTTTTTCTTTTTTTCCCCCCTTTCCCTTTTTTTTTTTTTTTCCTCTTTTCCCTTTTTTTTTTTTTCCCCCCTTTTTTCTTTTTTTTTTCCTTTTTTTCTTCCTCCCCCTTTTCCTCTTTTCCCCCCTTTTTTTCTCTCTTTTTTTTTCCCCTCCCTTTTCCCCTCTTCTTTTCTCTCTTTTTTTCCCCCTTTTTTTTTTTTTCCCCCCCTTTCCCCCTTCCCCCTTTTTTTCCCCTTTTTTTTTCTCCCCCCACCCCCCCTTCCCCCTTTTCCCCCCCTTTTCCCTTTTTTCGCCTTTTCTTTTTTTTTTTTTTTCTCCCCTTTTTTCTTTCCCCCCCCCTTCCTTTTTCCCCTTTTCCCCCCCCTTTTCCCCCTTTTTTCCCCCTTTTCCCCCTTTTTTCCCCCTTTCCCCCCCCTCCCTTTTTTCTTTTCCTCTCCCCCTTTTTTTTCCCCTCTTTTTTTCCCTTTTTCCCTTTTTCCCCCCTTTCCCCCTTTTTTTTACTTCCTCCTTTTTTTTTCCCTTTTTTTTTTTTTTCCCCCTTTTCCCCCCCTTTTTTTTTTTTTTTTTTCTTTAAAAATTTCCTTTTTTTCCTCGTTTTCCCCTTTTTTTTTTTTCCCCTTTTTTTTCCTCCCCTTTTTTCATCTTTTTTCCCCCCTTTTTTTTCTCCCCCTTTTTTTCCCCCCCTTTTTGTTCCCCCCCCTTTTTTGGGGTTCTCTTTTTTTTTTAAAATTTTTTTTTTATTTTCCCCCAAAAGAAATTTCCCCTTTTAAAAAAAAAAATTTTTCAAAAAAACCTTTTTCCTCCCTTTTTTTTTTCCCCTTTTTTTTTAAAACCCCTTTTTTTTTTTTCCCCAAAAATTTTTTCCCCCCCCCCCCCCCCCCGTTTCCCTTCCCCCCCCCTTTTTTCCCCCCCCCTTCCCTTTCCTTTCCCCCTTCCTTTCCTTCCCCCCTCTTAATCCTTTTTTCCCTTTCCCCTTCTTCCCCCCCTCCCTTTTTTTCTTTTTTTTCTTTCCTTCTTTCCCTTTTTTTTTTTAAACCCCTTTTTCCCTTTTTTTCCCCCTTTCTTTTCCTTTCCCTCTTTTTGGGGGGCTTTTTTTTTTTCTTTTTTTCCCCCCCCTTCCCCCCTCCCCCTCCCCCTTTTTTCCCCCCCCCCCCTCCAAAAAAAAAATTTTCAAACCCCCCAAAGGGCCCCCCAAAAACCCCTTTTTTTTTTTTTTTTTTTTTTTGGGTTTTAAAAATAGGTTTATTTTAGTTTGTAGAGAGCTACATGTGGAAGGGGGACCAGTGTAGGTAGAGATGTCAGAGTGACGTCTCTGATCTTGTAAAGATCAAGGCTGCCCTTTTCTATATCTTGCCTCTGTCGAATGACCCGAGTCGACAGTCAAGGCTAAAAGAAAAAAAACGCAGAGTTACACATCAATCTAGAAATCACTCACTCGATAGGCGTACAGCCTTTTAAAGAAATGGTGAGGATTAAAAGATGACATAACACTACGTAAGTCATATCAAGGCAGGAATAAATTGTAGTCTAAAACCCTAAACAAGAGTGAGGCTCTTATTGAAACCAGCTTAATCCAATACGTAAAATAATTTAGACAGGAGTGGAACAAATACTTACAGATTTGATGGGAGCCATAAGTCAAGTGACTGACCACCGGTCAGAGACACCCTCGTCACCTCCCACCGGGTGCAGAAGGGGAAGGGTAGCGGGAACTATGCACCCACCCTAACTGAACAAGCATACTGCCCACCAAACTACCACCACCATTCATTCATACTTCCACCACTCCTATCTGATGAACTTTTCCCCTCACACAACTGTACATAACATTACACATTGTCTTTTTATTAATATTTATTTCTGTTTTTAGATATGGCAATGTGGTGGAATCATGGTAGATGCACCTTGTTCACGTATTGGCCATATTTATCGCAAGTTTTGCTCCATTTCCAAATCCTGGTGTGGGAGACTTCGTTGGCAGGGTAAGGAATACAGTAGGACCCTATATCCACAGGTGGATGTCTTTTAATACCTACCGTGAATACCTGAAACCACCGATAGTGGCGAACCCTGTATTTAAGTAATTTTTCGTTTACATACATACATAGCTGTTATAAAATTGATAAATTACACACAGTAAATCGAGAATTAGCACTTTTTAACTGATGGGAAGCAATTCATATCTTCCCTTAGGCTTTGAAGAAGTGTCACATCACTACTTTTGCACTTCGGTGTCATTATTAAGCAAAATTATTTTCATGCCAGGGTAAACCGCAGATAACTCAAACCAGAGAATTGAACCCACGGATATGGCAGTCCTACTGTACATTTTCAATAAAATTGATTCTTATATTTAGAAAAGAGGGATTATGTGGAGTAAAATAAAGATTGGATGTGAAAAGTGGGTTATAGTAAGCGTGTATGCACCTGGAGAAGAGAGAAGTGTAGAGGAGAGAGAGATTTTGGGAAATGTTGAGTGAATGCGTTGGGAGTTTTGAATCAAGTGTGAGAGTAATGGTGGTTGGGGATTTCAATGCTAAAGTGGGTAAAAATGTTATGGAGGGAGTAGTAGGTAAATTTGGGGTGCCAGGGGTAAATGTAAATGGGGAGCCTTTAATTGAGCTATGTGTAGAAAGAGATTTGGTAATAAGTAATACATATTTTATGAAAAAGAGGATAAATAAATATACAAGGTATGATGTAGCATGTAATGAAAGTAGTTTATTAGATTATGTATTGGTGGATAAAAGGTTGATGGGTAGGCTCCAGGATGTACATGTTTATAGAGGGGCAACTGATATATCGGATCATTATTCAGTTGTAGCTACAGTTAGAGTAAGAGGTAGATGGGAAAAGAGGAAGGTGGCAACAACAAGTAAGAGGGAGGTGAAAGTGTATAAACTAAGGGAGGAGGAAGTTCGGGTGAGATATAAGCGACTATTGTCAGAAAGGTGGGTTAGTGCAAAGATGAGTAGTGGGGGGGGGGGGGTTGAAGAGGGTTGGAATAGTTTTAAAAATGCAGTATTAGAATGTGGGGCAGAAGTTTGTGGTTATAGGAGGGTGGGGGTAGGAGGAAAGAGGAGTGATTGGTGGAACGATGAAGTAAAGGGTGTGATAAAAGAGAAAAATTTAGCTTATGAGAGGTTTTTACAAAGTAGAAGTGTTATAAGAAGAGCAGAGTATATGGAGAGTAAAAGAAAGGTGAAGAGAGTGGTGAGAGAGTGCAAAAGGAGAGCAGATGATAGAGTGGGAGAGGAACTGTCAAGAAATTTTAATGAAAATAAGAAAAAATTTTGGAGTGAGTTAAACAAGTTAAGAAAGCCTAGGGAAAGTACGGATTTGTCAGTTAAAAACAGAGTAGGGGAGTTAGTAGATGGGGAGAGGGAGGTATTAGGTAGATGGCGAGAATATTTTGAGGAACTTTTAAATGTTGAGGAAGAAAGGGAGGCGGTAATTTCATGCACTGGTCAGGGAGGTATACCATCTTTTAGGAGTGAAGAAGAGCAGAATGTAAGTGTGGGGGAGGTACGTGAGGCATTACGTAGAATGAAAGGGGGTAAAGCAGCTGGAACTGATGGGATCATGACATAAATGTTAAAAGCAGGGGGGGATATAGTGTTGGAGTGGTTGGTACTTTTGTTTAATAAATGTATGAAAGAGGGGAAGGTACCTAGGGATTGGCAGAGAGCATATATAGTCCCTTTATATAAAGGGAAAGGGGACAAAAGAGATTGTAAAAATTATAGAGGAATAAGTTTACTGAGTATACCAGGAAAAGTGTACGGTAGGGTTATAATTGAAAGAATTAGTGGTAAGACAGAATGTAGGATTGCGGATGAGCAAGGAGGTTTCAGAGTGGGTAGGGGATGTGTAGATCAAGTGTTTACACTGAAGCATATATATGAACAGTATTTAGATAAAGGTAGGGAAGTTTTTATTGCATTTATGGATTTAGAAAAGGCATATGATAGAGTGGATAGAGGAGCAATGTGGCAGATGTTGCAAGTATATGGAATAGGTGGTAAGTTACTAAATGCTGTAAAGAGTTTTTATGAGGATAGTGAGGCTCAAGTTAGGGCGTGTAGAAGAGAGGGAGACTACTTCCCAGTAAAAGTAGGTCTTAGACAGGGGTGTGTAATGTCACCATGGTTGTTTAGTATATTTATAGATGGGGTTGTAAAAGAAGTAAATGCTAGGGTGTTCGGGAGAGGGGTGGGATTAAATTATGGGGAATCAAATTCAAAATGGGAATTGACACAGTTACTTTTTGCTGATGATACTGTGCTTATGGGAGATTCTAAAGAAAAATTGCATAGGTTAGTGGATGAGTTTGGGAATGTGTGTAAAGGTAGAAAGTTGAAAGTGAACATAGAAAAGAGTAAGGTGATGAGGGTATCGAATGATTTAGATAAAGAAAAATTGGATATCAAATTGGGGAGGAGGAGTATGGAAGAAGTGAATGTTTTCAGATACTTGGGAGTTGACGTGTCGGCGGATGGATTTATGAAGAATGAGGTTAATCATAGAATTGATGAGGGAAAAAAGGTGAGTGGTGCATTGAGGTATATGTGGAGTCAAAAAACATTATCTATGGAGGCAAAGAAGGGAATGTATGAAAGTATAGTAGTACCAACACTCTTATATGGGTGTGAAGCTTGGGTGGTAAATGCAGCAGCGAGGAGATGGTTGGAGGCAGTGGAGATGTCCTGTCTAAGGGCAATGTGTAGAGTAAATATTATGCAGAAAATTCGGTGTTTGGAAATTAGGAAAAGGTGTGGAGTTAATAAAAGTATTAGTCAGAGGGCAGAAGAGGGGTTGTTGAGGTGGTTTGGTCATTTAGAGAGAATGGATCAAAGTAGAATGACATGGAAAGCATATAAATCTATAGGGGAAGGAAGGCGAGGTAGGGGTCGTCCTCGAAAGGGTTGGAGAGAAGGGGTAAAATAGGTTTTGTGGGCGAGGGGCTTGGACTTCCAGCAAGCGTGCATAAGCGTGTTAGATAGGAGTGAATGGAGACGAATGGTACTTGGGACCTGACGATCTGTTGGAGTGTGATCAGGGTAATATTTAGTGAAGGGATTCAGGGAAACCGGTTATTTGCATATAGTCAGACTTGGGTCCTGGAAATGGGAAGTACAATGCCTGCACTTTAAAGGAGGGGTTTAGGATATTGGCAGTTTGGTGGGATATATTGTGTATCTTTATACGTATATGCTTCTAAACTGTTGTATTCTGAGGACCTCTGCAAAAACAGTGATAATGTGTGAGTGTGGTGAAAGTGTTGAATGATGATGAAAGCATTTTCTTTTTGGGGATTTTCTTTCTTTTTCGGGTCACCCTGCCTCGGTGGGAGACGGCCGATTTGTTGAAAAAAAAAAAAAAAAACTTAGAAAAGAGTATACAACTAGAATTTGTATATTTAAATCATCCATAATGTATTGCTAATTTTTGAACAACTAATATTTCAGTATATTTAACATTTTTTTTTTTTTTGTATTTTTACAAATTTTCAGAATTACCGCCGAGTGGCTGAGGTTTGGATGGACGAGTATGCTGAGTATCTTTATAAACGTAGACCATCATATCTAAAACTTGATGCTGGTGATTTGACAGAGCAGAAGGCTATTAGGAAAAGACTGAACTGCAAATCATTTAAATGGTTTATGACACAAGTTGCTTTTGATTTGACAAAAGTGTACCCTCCAGTTGAACCACCAAATTTTGCAAGTGGGAAGGTGAGAATTATTCAATTTACTTTTCCCATCTTTTATTGGATCTTTTTAAAACTGATCAGAAGAATATAGTTGTGTGTGTGTATGCGTGTTGCGTATTTATTAGAATATTAGTGAAAGCGCTTTTAATTTTATGATATTAGGTAGTCTGTTGCATGGTTTAATTGACCAGTTTAATCAAAGACTTATTATCTCTCTTAGTTTAAACACATTTCACTCAGATTCTTTATAATTTGGTACCATGAGTAACAATTGAAACCCCACAGCAAGTCAGTAACTTGATATTTCTTAATCTTAATCCTTTAACTGTCTTTAACATAGATATCCATTTTTGAGGCCAGTGGCAACTGTGTAGATCTGCATTTTAATCATAGTGTTCCCAAATATGCTGTGAGCATATTTGGCTTAGACATGAGAGAATGGACTGTGCAGTGCGTGTGCACAGTATAGAAAAAATCATGCCCCATGCAGTGCATGGTGACCTTTTGTTTTAGTTAAAATAGTGCCTTTGAGGCATTTTCTATGATGGTTTTTCATAATTTTATTGGCTTTTCTTGTTGCTGTTTGATAAACCTGAAGACATATTCATGAAATTCAGATGATTTTGGTAAATTTCAGACTGGAGGTGGCCTGAAATATTTGATTTTTGGTAAAGCATAGGGCTAACACCTACCCTTCCTGTCTGTTTTTACCATTCCCTTCCTCCCTGGTATGTTTTTACTAGGCTTGCTTCAGTTGCTGGAACAGCCTGAATTTGAAGCTGATTGTACAAGGTTTTCTAAAGTTGTTAATGAAAACTTTGGAAGATGGTGAAAAAATGCAATACTTGCTATAGTTTTCCCTGTGGGGGCATACCTAACAATGAAGTACAGTGGTCCCTCGCTTTTCGTAGTTCTCGGCAATCGTAAATTTCGCCAATCATAGGGGTATTTTCATATAAACATGGACTCGCTTTTCATAGGTTGACTCACGAATAGTAGTTCGTCCTGGACGCGTACGCACGGTGTGAGCCGGGGCGGCCTCCCTACCCAGCCAGTCTGGCATTGTTTGCCAGTGAGTGAAGGTCCCCTCAAGTGCTCCTACGAAATATTTCATAATATTCCACTCATTTTAGTGCTTGTAATTACTAAATAAGCTACCATGGCTCCAAAGAAAGCTCCTAGTGCCAAGCCTGTGGTAAAGAAGGTGAGAAATATGTACAGTGACAAAGTCTTGGGCCATTTTCAGGAAGTGTTAAAGAGATGCCAGAAACAGAGCTCTCTCCACAGTTACTTTGCGAGACAGGACTAGAGTGACTCTCAAGGTGGTCCTAGTGGCATTAAGAAACAGAGAAGAGAAGCAACCCCAGAGAAGCAATTGGTACCTGAGGTGTTGCTGGAAGGGGATTCCCCTTCCAAACTGTAAACAATCTAATCTCTCTCCTCCTCCAGTCTCCCATACACTAAGAAGAATCTCCAATAAAGGTAAGTGTTATGCTATTAATGTTTCATTCATCATTTCCCATTCTATTGTTTATGTACTATATGTATATTTCATGTAAAAAAAATTTTTTGTTTTAATACTTCTGGGTGTCAGGAACGGATTAATTGTATTTACATTATTTCTTATGGGGAAAATTGATTCGCAAATCGTAAATTTCGTTTATAGTAACGGCTCCAGGAACGGATTAATTACGAAAAACGAGGGACCACTGTATATTGACATTTGAATTATATCTCAATTATGTTTCATATTCTAACCCCATTTTTTAGAATGCAGTTTATTAATTTGTTTCATTATTTTTAATTTATTGTGAACACATCTTTTACTTTAATGTATTTTACAGATTCAGAGTGTGGCAAGCTCTAACTTATGTGTAGATACAAGGTTCAAGCATCATGGTGATAGGTTTGATCTTCAAGAATGTGGTCGAGGAGGAGAGCAGACTTTTCACTTGACTTGGCACAAGGACATAAGACCAGGCAAACGCCCTGTATGTTGGGATGTGTCCAGTGGTGATGCTCAGGCTCCAATATTGCTATACAATTGTCATGGTATGGGTGGCAATCAGCTCTGGAGATATGATCCTGTAAGTATTTAATTAGGAATTGTACACTTACTGAAGGAAAAGTATATGTTGTTGATGTAATGCAATGTATTTCATTTTGAGTCATGTGAATTTAATCATTTGTTTTAAAGAGCTTGGACATTATCAGGTAAACTTATATACTGTATTCAAATAGTAGAGGTGTAGCATGAATATTTAATGTCGTATTTTGTACATCTAAATTACCTTCCTTTGCCTTTTTGTAAAATATAAAGTAAGTAATAAAAGTTCATGCTACAGGGATTCCACTCAGGTGACAACTTTACTGGTAGTGTGTCAGTCATGTATGCTGTTATTGTGACTACTGCAAATGTCTTAATATCCAGAGTAACTATGCACTCAGGCCACTTAGTCCAGCACTGGTAAGCCAGCACACCCTTACGTGTCCATAGATAAATCATCTTGCTGCACCTCTGTCATAAGGAAGGTGCCACTGATCAGGTCATCTTATGACAAAGACCCATGTCAGGGATTTTCCCTAGATGAATAAATAGTAACAGTGTTCAGCAGACACCATGGAAGGTATATACAATACTGTACTGTATGGCATTTAAAATGCATGATGTGACTTACCCATGAGCTCTCTTGTCCTGCTTTGATATCTTTTGTTTTTGCAGCATATTTTACTTTTTAAACAAACTAAATATTCAGTAAATGTTTTCATAGCAGGTTGTCCATGCTGAATCTTTTCTGCTTCCATCAGGTATGGTATATTTCTGGGTATTGCTGTGGTTTTCCTTGCCATTATTAACTGTTGATTGACCTAACCAATCTATATTTTATTTGCATTTCTATCAAGGGACTTTGAGGAAACACATTTCTAAAGTGCCCATGAATGTTATGCCTCTGCACATAAATGTGGTGTGCCAGTAAGGTTAATCATGTCCATTTTCCCCATCTTTATTTGTGCAAAATTTTGTTTCTGGATATTAAATAATGAATAATTTATGCTTTCCTCTGGAATTTGCTAGTAATTTGCATTGAAACTACTTGAGATAGCACTTCAGATACATCAGCCAATAGATGACACTCATTGGATTGCATTGACAAAATTTTCACATCTTACTTGTAGGAATATTATTGTAGAAAGTGGCATCTATGTTTATTGAACTAATTTCTAGTTAGGTGTCCCCTCATAAGTTATTCCTTGAGGCAAAGAATTGGACACTGCCTCCCATACCTTGGATTGAATTTGATTTCTTCCTATTCCTCCAGTCACTTTAAGACTATGCGTTTAGCACATTTGAGTCCTGGAGGTGGGAAGGGCAGTGCTTGCACTCTGAGGAGGAATGGAAATGTTGCAGTTGGTGTGGGGAATTTGTATAGGTCACATGATCACTCTTGGGACTTTGGGTGAATGTCAGTAACTTGTAACTCATCTTAACTCCTTCAGGGTCCAAGGCCAGAATCTGAAGTGGTGCCCCAGTGTCCAAGAATTTTCAAAAAAAAAATTGTTATTTTTTCTTATGAAATGGTAGAGAATCTTTTTGTGAAGGTAATAAAACAATACCAGTTGTGGAATCTATTGTGTCATTGGGAGAGTCCATGGGGAGGATGTGGAACAGTTGATAGAGGACAAAATTATGCTCTCGCGAATTTTGATGTGTCAGCGATATTTACGAATCGGCGATTTTGCCGGCTTTGACTCCCATTTTAGGCCAATTACATTGTTCCAGTCGACCAAATTCTTAGCTATTTCACTAGTATTACTTCTATTCTATCGATTGAGCACAAGAAGTCGCCAGGTCAACTGTTTCAACTACAAAATAAAGTGATTGGAAATTGGTAATTTGGCCAATTTAACACAAAGTTCAAAATATTCCAATTTCAAAATAGGGTTCAGAATAAACAGTGTAGGTATTCCTGGCACTAAACTAACATTTCCTCTGCTCATTAGTTACGTTTTGAGGCTTTACAAATAAATTCCATTTTTATTTTTTATTCACATAATGAATTTTTATTCACACCAAAAAATAGAAGATATACTGTTATGCAATATTGTAATAATTTTATAAATATCATCACCACATTTGTGAATGTATATTAGACCCACCAGCTGGCGTGTATTAGACATGTGAGGTCGTTTGTTTACTCTTGAACATCGGCAAAAATTTAACATTTCCGCTACTTTGAGCTCAGTTTCAAGCCATTTCCAGTGCTAAAACCAATCAAAATCATCTCTATTTCTGTAATATGTCTTCCATTCTATCAAATGAGACCAAGAAATTGCAAATTACAACTATAAAAACATACAAAAAAATACTGCAAAGTTGCTGTTTTAATCGAAAATCATGGTCTCAGTTTTTTTTTTCCTCTCATTATACACAGTGTGCTGCAGGATTTGTTTTATGTGGTGCACACATACCACATAGATGTATTCTCTCATATCTAGGCCCAAATGTACCACTCGCAGTTTATCAGAGTGAGCTGAGCTCATGACGTAGATCTACGGTTTGGACCCTGAACATAAAGCCGTAGATCTACGGGACGGACCCTGAAAGGGTTAAGGTTACAGCAGCTGCACCCTGGATTCTTTCCTCCAAGAGTGACCATCGAATATTGTCCCTGCAGCTGTATGTGGGGTGAAACATGTAGTGATTAAGAATGTGGCCTGACAGTTGTATGTTCCATTATTGTACAGGTATATTTCATGAAAGAGATGTCACATGACTACCCCTGTGTGGTGAAATCCCCCATGTATCATGACATCCTAAAGATGCTTGTCCAAAATTCTGTAACATGTCCTGATCGGATTATTGCAGTACACCCCTAAGAGATGGTATTACTAAGTCCAATTTACCATAGCTCATGCAAATTTGAGCCATTACACTATTGTGTCACCTGGATGCCAATATCTGATGGCTTGATTAAAGATACATCGTTTATTCCACGAAGATGATTCGCAGGGATATTATACTTCTGTTCATCATTTTAGGTTTGTTCAACCTGTGTCCAACATACTAGTATGCAAAAATTTTTGTACTTTCAAATCTGCCACTTGCCAATATTTTTTAACTAAGCAAAACTGGGTCTTAAGAACATAAGAAAGGAGGAACACTGCAGCAGGCCTGTTGGCCCATACTAGGCAGGTCCTTTACAATTCATCCCACTAACAAACATTTGACCAACCCAATTTTCAATGCTACCCAAGAAATAAGCTCTGATGTGAAAGTCCCACTCAAATCCAACCCATCCCACTCATGTATTTATCCAACCTAAATTTGAAACTACCCAAAGTCCTAGCCTCAATAACCCAACTAGGTAGACTGTTCCACTCATCTACTACCCTATTTCCAAACCAATACTTTCCTATGTCCTTTCTAAATCTAAATTTATCTAATTTAAATCCATTACTGCGGGTTCTCTCTTGGAGAGATATCCTCAAGACCTTGTTAATATCCCCTTTATTAATACCTATCTTCCACTTATACACTTCGATCAGGTCTCCCCTCATTCTTCGTCTAACAAGTGAATGTAACTTAAGAGTCTTCAATCTTTCTTCATAAGGAAGATTTCTAATGCTATGTATTAATTTAGTCATCCTACGCTGAATGTTTTCTATCGAATTTATGTCCATTCTGTAATATGGAGACCAGAATTGAGCTGCATAATCAAGTCCTTTTCGCAATCTGTATGGCTAAGTTCTACATCATTTAACTTATAAGTGCTAGTGTTATGGACACTCCCGAGCTTCAGAACCTTGCATTAATCTACATTGAACTGCATCTGCCACTTTTCTAACCAAGAATATAGTTTGTTTAAATTAGGAGCTGCTGTTCCACCACCAGCTTCCCTACCAGCAAATAGAGTTTGTAACTGTCAGTAAGATGACTTATTCATTCAAAATTTATTACAGTTTCATGATACTAACAGTGGAATTCAGCCACTAGGCACACTAAGTAACCCAAGATAACCCAGTAAAGTCGAACAGTATAACTTATTTCCATGTTTTGAGGAAAATAACATCTGAAAGAACTGTAATATTATAAGTATTCCTTGTACATGCACTAGAAGACCAAAATTGTAAAAAATAGAATAAAAAACAATTATACTATATACAGGAAGGCCCCGCTTTACGGCGTTTCACTTTACGGCGTTCCGCTAATACGGACATTTCAAATTATGACCAAAACTCACTATACGGCTCCCCCCACGTGACTTTCTAATACGGTCACCGTGCCCCACCCTGTTTGTTTACATTCTCCATGAGCTCTGGAAACTCCAAAATTTCAAATGTTTTTAAAAGTTATTTCATATTTTATATACTCTGATAATTATACTTATGTATACCTGTACCTAAATAAACTTACATACTGTGCTGGCATGCAGGTACACATTAAAATTGGTAAGTGTCTTATGTCTCCAGACATCATATTAGTAATGATAATAATAATCATCGAGTCATTTAAATGTCGTATATTACGTTAATATACACATTTTCATTAATCCATCTATGATATTTTTTCAAAATTATATAATAAACACGATGCATAACATATAAATAAGATAAATACACCCCACAGTAGAATAAATAAACATAAATGTGAGATGTGGTAGCAGACGACTTGCACAAGTGACGCCATATTAGAAATGATAATAATAATAATAACAATACTCACCGAGTCTCATTAAATGTCGTATATTACGTTAATATACACATTTTCATTAATCCATCCATGATATTTTTTCAAAATTATATAATAAACACGATACATAACATAAAAAGATGATAAATACACCCCACAATAGAATAAATAAACATAAATATAAGATGTGGGAGCCACATAACTTGTACAAGTGACGGCAAGAATAACATTTTCTCTAATCTAACATAAGAGAAAATGTGTTACTGGGGGTAACTGTAGAAAATTATTCCTTTCGTATGTATGTAAGTAAGTTTATTCAGGTATACACAAATACAGTTACATAGATTATCATACATAACAACATATGTGTAGAGAACCTAGGATAACCCAAAAAAG